CACCTAAAACATAGTCACAGAATAGGAAAAACCCGCTACTACAATTTGATCGACCTTATAAATATAAAAAATGATAAAATGTTCCATGACCACAAAGGAAAAAAATTGTTTTCTCGTCAAATTAAATGCACACAACATATTATTTCAGAAAGAACAAACTTTATGTCTACAGAGAACATGCAGAACTACTCCAGAAAAAACTTGAAGAATTAACTGAGCTATTCCAGAAGAGGTGTCATAAAAACTTGTGAAAACCATATCAATTTTACTTGTCCTTAAATCTTTAAAAACTCCGATTTGTATAAATTTTTATCTTAGGAAGATAATCTTACCACTTTAAATATTAGTTACCGAAGAGTTTACCATCATCATGAAACAAGAATTTTGGTTATGGATACTCAATAACCTTCAAAACGAGGAAACAGACTAAAATGTTTTTTGATGAAACTTTAAAACAAGGATTTAAAGATCACATCAATAAATTTCTGGAAAAATTATAGCACTGCGGGTTTCAATAAATGAAAAATAATTGAAGTAAGAAATCTTATAAAATATGAAATTTACATTGTCTATTGTTAAGTTAATAATGCTCCAGGTATGAAGGATATGTATATATTTGAACATAATTTTAAAATTTAATTTCAAAAGATAAAAAATGAAAACGGAAAAACTGAAACGGAAAAACTGTTATGAAAAATTGAATGTAGTAAAACGCGTGAAAATTTAGTACATACTGATAAAGACTGAAATAAAGATTTTATTTCAGTGTGATCACTTGACCTCATGTAATTAACATTAGGATCTCTAATTAAAATTGTTTCTAATAAATTAGGTTAATTAGGTTTAGATATCATTACTGAAAATAGGTTAGAGAAATTGTCGCTAAGGTATTTCGAGCTATCCGGTGGGCAATATAGGACACAAAACAATATACTCTTCGTCTTTGGAAGTATTTTTTTGAAACAAACGCTCTTTATTTCGTTGGATTTGAGATCGTTACGTCTTACCCAGTTTAACTTATTAGATATGTAAACGGCAACACATCCACCCAGTCTGTTTTTACGTATGCTGCTTAGATATACATAACTCTCAATATGACATAGTTCACTAGGGTCGTCCTTGCTTATATGGGTTTATGGGTTTGTCAATGTTTTTGTTGCAGTTAAACAAATAAATGATGCTAAATGTTCCATAGGCCACGGATATTTAAATGAAAACATTGTAAGCCTTTCATACACAGAATATCTTCAAGTTTCTCCATCACTGAAATAATATGGTTCAAATACATTGGTCCAGGTCATAGTTCTATGTCACCTGATAATAATAACATAACTCTTAGGAAAGCATGTTCTTTTAGTATAATTTTATTTTCTAGTTGGTATTGCCATAAAAATATTTGTATAAATGTCAACTCAAATTCTATAGTTTCAAGAGATGTTTCAGAATAACATATCAAATTTGAATTTTGCAATGACGTCACTTTAACAGTTATTGTAGCGTATATTAGAAGTGTAATATAGTTAAACATTTTAAGAAAGTATACTTAGATACATGCAATATTTATAAAGAAAACAGCTTTAAATTGAAATATTTCATACGAACCTGGCGTACGAACCTGATGTACGAACCTGATGGCGTAGAATAAAGTAATAATATGATGTAACTTCCAAATCTATATTATTATTTTTTCTTCTTTTAAAACTTTATATTAAAATATAAAGTACCACCCCACACCACCCCCACCCCCACCCCCTCCCACACACACACACACACACACACACACACACACACACACACGGATACGACGTTCTCAAGACTTTTGTATGAGACCAATTTAGGATGTCTAACGGAAAAGAAATCTAATATAAATGAGTGCAGCATAGAGCCACCAAACTAGTTACATCAATTAGCCGTTTGTGCGATGAAGATCAATCCTCCTAGCACAAAAAACTAATTGATGAAGCTAGTTCGGTTGCTCAACGCTACACTCATTTAACTATTTTACATACATGATACACGTACACGTGTATCATGTCTCTTCAAATCAAGAGGGGGGGGGGGATCAAACTTTACATGGTCATAATTTTTGAACACGAATATTAGAAAACTATTTCTAATAATCTATCATTTTGTTAATCGATCACTGTTTTTACGTATGCATATATGTATACATAAAAACAGTGATCGATTAACAAAATGATAGGTTATTAGAAATAATTTTGTATACATATATGTATACAAAAAAACAGTGATCAATTAACAAAATGATAGAATAATATTCGTGTTCTAAAATTATAACCACAAAAAGTTTGATTCATTCCCACCCCCACCCCCCCTCCTTCGATTTGAAGAGATATTAAACTTTGATGGGTCATAAAAACCGAACACAGCAGATTATTTCTGGAAATTTTAAATTTGTAGATAAATTGAAATTAATTAAATTATGGTAAAATAACTACTTTTTTTTTAGTATTTTTTGGTTCCCAGGCTGCAAAATTTACAGTACTTGGCAAAACATCTTTATTTGACATTAACATAAACATATACATGTTAGGAATAATTAAACACTAAAGAATGAGGTCAACGCCCCTGATGAATCGATATCATTTATAACAAAAGACTTGGGCTCAGCTAAAATCCATATTTATTCATAAGTTTATTTATGCTTGGGTTAAGTAAAGTGTTACAAAAACGTTAGGGCATGCTAAGAAAAGTACTTTAAAAAAATGCTAGTATAAAAAATAAATTTTCATATCATTTTTTCTTATTTCAATATATGGTGTCTTTGACCTATTATGTAGAGTTAAGACATTAGAATAAAAAAAAAATTGTTTCTTTGGCTTCATTTTATTTTTGATTTTGACTAATATTTGAAAAATAAAATATTACCATTTCCCTGGTAAAATTGATATGTTGAACCTAAAAATTAAGTATGGTTAAAATTAAATCAGTTTTTGAGTGACTAACACAATATTGATTTTGCATGGTTTTGCTTACCTCAGGCCCAACTATGCAATGACTAAATTAACACTCAGTAATAAAATTACAATTAAAATTTTATTTTTTTAAAAATACAAGTTGATTAAAAATGTTACATTTAAAAAAGTTGACGAACTTGATTTCCTTACAAATTAAAAATTCATAAACTTAATGTTCAGGCCCGTGTACAGGCCTGACATATGAACATATATTGCCCGTATATGAACAACAATTGTAAATTGTTAACTATAAATATAGTTTGAAATAAATAAATAAGACATGGAAATTTATGAACTTTGCTTTAAAAGAAAATTTTTTAAATGTTTTGTGTGATGCTCGGATTAATTGAAGGAACTACAACTTGATTAAATTTGTTGTCACAGCATGCTTTACTCTATGTTCACTATGCATGCTCACTAAACAAGTTACAGCAATAAAGAAGAGAATAAGTCAAACTATTGAGTAGTATTTTGATAAACAAAAGCTTGTTTATCAAAACGGCAAACAACTTTTAAATATTTTATATAAAGAATATTTTAAACATTGTGTGGAGTAACCTCGTAATTCATTGGAAAGTTCAACAATCTCTTTTAATACTTTTATTAACAAAGACTGTAACACAAGCCCACTACCGGGCCTAACCAACTTTAGAAAAAACGTTTATTAAGGCCCAATATATTAGGAGCCTTTGATAAAAAAAGATCTAAACGGTCTTTTTTTATCAAAGGTTTAAGATCTAGAAGCCTCACTAAGGTGTCCTGTTCCCGCACAGTTTTTGAACAACAAAACCAACTTTTAAATTGAGTTTTAGACAAAGAAAATAATAATATTTACTGAGTATTTTTTAAAAATAAAAAAATTCAAGAGTCCCCCACTAAGAAAAAGTTGAAAAATCTGTTCGGTGCACTTATGCTACCGCCCTCTTATTCCAAAATTTTTAAATTTTTTCGGCGCACTTAGTCAAGTATGCACTTATGCAGATATTTGCAAATTCTATTGACGCACTTATGCCAATGTTTACAAATTCTTTCGGCGCACTTATGCCAGTTCACACTTATGCCGCACTTATGCCAGTTTTTGCAATTGATTCGCACTTATGCCAGTTTGCACTTATGCCAGTTCGCACTTATGCCAATGTTTGCAAATTCTTTCGGCGCACTTATGCCAGTTCGCGCTTGTGCCAGTTCGCACTTATGCCAGTTTTTGCAATTGATTCGCACTTATGCCAGTTCGCACTTATGCTAGTTCGCACTTATGCCAATGTTTGCAAATTCTTTCGGCGCACTTATGCCAGTTCGCGCTTGTGCCAGTTCGCACTTATGCCAGTTTTTGCAATTGATTCGCACTTATGCAAGTTCGCACTTATGCCAGTTCGCACTTATGCCAATGTTTGCAAATTCTTTTGGCGCACTTATGCCAGTTCGCGCTTGTGCCAGTTCGCACTTATGCCAGTTTTTGCAAGTGATTCGCACTTATGCCAGTTCGCACTTGTGCCAGTTCGCACTTATGCCAGTTCGCACTTATGCCAGTCGCACTTATGCAGATTCGCAGTTATGAAATTCGCACTTATTCAGTCGCCCCGATATTTTCACGAACTTCGAAGCATGGTGACATGGTGGTCTTCTACTTGCTCCTTTCAGAATATAAAGATTTCATTTTTAATTTTTAAAAAAATATTGTATAATGACTGTTTATTGACGAAATATATATATATTATGATCAGAAAAAAAAAAAAAAAAAAAAAAACTGTTTGTAACATCCCTGTCTGTCCATTAAAATCAATTGCTGTTTTAAAATTGATATTGGTTTATTATCATATAATTTTCGTATTTCTCTTATAACTTTTAATATATCATCATTATTATTATCATCAATTGTATTATCAATCCTATTTTGTGGTTTTACTTAAGATTAGTTTTTAACTATTTGTAAATGATCTCAATTGTAAGATCTTTGGTTAAAAAATATATTGATTGATTGATATTGAAGAATAATTTTTATGTATAACAAAAATAAATTACCTCTAATATTGTTATTATTTACAACATGTGGTGGAGTAGTGGTGGTGGAGCCATCGAATACTCGAGATCGATCTAAAAAAAATTAAAAGTTTTTTTGATTGACAATACCCAGTGGGTACCATTATATATCCCGGTGGGCACCAAGACATCTCAATAACGTCTCTGTCTGCATCTTGTCATTAAGTTTAACTGTAAAATGCTATTTATATGTTTATTTTATGTATGTTTATTTTTTATATGTTTGTTCTGAACATCCTTGACCTTTTTGAAACCAATATATTTTGTTTTAGCCAGTGTGAAACGTTTAAAAGACGTGTGAACATTAAAAAGAAGTGTGCCTTTTTTAAAAAAAAGTCACAGATCAAACAAACATGTAAACTAAAATTAAAATCTAATTTTATTAGTATCGGTCACAAATATTTTGTTTTATGATTAACTTTTCGTAGATATTTTGTTTGGTAGTTGTTAATTGCGAACAACATTTTTTATTTTATCTCGAAATATTGTTGAAACCTAAATAAGAATTGCTAACAGTTTCATAAAGATTTGTTTGAATTATAATAAATTGTGAGATAATAATTTAATTATTATAACAATAAGAGATTATTTCTTTAATTTTTTTTAACATTTTTTTTTTAGTTTTAGTATAAATGAAATAATTACTTTAAAAAAATATTTTGACTAAACTATTTTATGAAGATAATTATATCAAAAACTGTATTTATAATTTTTGATAAAATTCTACAGTCAAAAACTAAAATTAATTTTGTGTGCCTAAAATTTGTAAAGAGCATAAATAAACATTGTTACAAAGTAATAATTACCTTTCATAAACAATATTATTGAATAAAAACAATATATATATATATATATATATATATATATATATATATATATATATATATATATATATATATATATATATATATATATATATATATATATATATATATATATATATATATATATATATATATATATATATATATATATATATATATATGTATATATATTTATTTGTTTTTATTATTTATTTTGCCTTCTACAATAAATACAATTTTTATATATACAAACAAGTTTTCTTCTTGCTGGAGCAAGAAGAAGACATAATTCTGTCTTATCACCAAGCCCCATTTTTATGTAAAAGTGATATATAAATTATATTATATTATATTAGCAAATTCCTCAAATGCTTACAATATCTGCAGTTGCAAAGAGAAAAATAATTCAGCTGCAGTTGCAAAAAAAAAAGAAAATTAGATCATATACTTTTAATAAAATAAAATAAGATGTTAATAATAATAAAAATAATAATAATAATAATAATAATAATAATAATAATAATAATAAAAGGTATCTACATATACTTATATTATGAGAGTAATATCATCAATAAGCTTTGTTAAATACAAACACAAGGTTGTGATAATAACATTATTTTTAAATAATTTTTTTTTTAAGTTATCTTGATTTTTTATTAAAGCTTTACTTTATTTAAAAAAAACTTTAAATCTAGCATAGTGAGATCCATAAATAAGAACAACCGTTTAGATTCTTTTTTGAATCAATCAAGAGTGATTTTAAATCGATCAAGAGTGATTATTTATAATATCTGAAAATAAATTCCATAAATACGGTCCACAATACTCAATTGAGTCTGAACTCAACTTTAGACTATATTTTGGGACAGAAAAATTGTTTACGGAGAATCTTGTGCTATTTTTATGGCAGATTTCACTAAAATAGGATTCAAATATTTATGGCGATATTCCTAGCTTAGTTCTTTACATAAAACCTAAAATTTCATGTGAATTTATTTTATAAATATTTAAAGCTCCAAGTAAACACAGTAAATGCTCAAAGGGTTCTGCTCTATTTGCTCCAAATATAATTCAACATGCATGTTTTCGTTTACTGTAAACCTTTTTTAGTTTTGTATGATTGGTACAATCATACAAAACTAAAAAAGAAAGAGTCATCTGCAAATAAATTAAAACTTATAAGATTTGATGATAAATAAAGATCATTTATGTACAGTAGAAACAACAATGGCCCTAGAGAAGAACCTTGTGGAATCCCACAAGTTATGAATTGTTTTCTGTTTGTTAAATAGTTTTTAAACCAAAGTAAATTTTTATTTCTAATGCCATAGTGTTCAAGTTTACTTAGCAGTATATCATGATTTACTGTGTCAAGGCAAGATTGAAATTGGTCTGTAGTTTGAAATGTTGGAGTCATCTCCACTTTTAAATATTGGTGTGATTTGGGCAATTTTTAACTTATCTGGAACAACACTTGATTTTAAAGAAAGTTTAAAGATATGTAATAAAGATGTTTTAATGACATTAAGTACAGATATTACAACGTTAGCGCTAACTTGATCAAAACCTGTGCATTTTTTTTTAAAGGCTATTAAAAGTATCTCGCAATTCACAAACTTTAAGATTAGATTCGTTTATATGTGTATTATATCTTTTTAAATAAAAATCAAAACTTGTTAAGCTCAGCGGAGTTGTTTTAGCTAAGTTCGGCCCAATAATGAAAAAGAAGTTGACAAGATTCTCAGCAATAGAAGATTTTTAATAAACTAGCTTTTTATTAATCATAAGTTTTTTTGAAGAATATTTTTAATACTTTTATTTTTTTCAATTATTTTATTAATAACATTTTTTTTGTGTTTTCATTTGTTTTTTCTAATAATTTTGCGTAATATATTTTTTTAGAGTGTTTTTTTGTTTTTTCAAATAGATTTTTATGTTTTTTTTATATTGACTAATTTTTGTACGTTTTTTTTTTAGAATTTATTAAACAGTTTTTGTTTCATTTTTAAAGATTTTATTAGACTTATGGACATCCAGGGAGTTAAAAGAGATTTGTTATTAATGACACATTTTTTTTTGGAAATGCACTTTTGTACTGTTTGCAAAACTGCTTAAGAAATAAATCATATGCATTATTAACGTCTTGCGATTGTAAAACAAGATCCCAATCAACGTTATGTTTTAAAAGGTTGTTAATTTTTTGCAATGAGTTTTCGTTGATCAGTCGCTTATAGATGGTCGTTTAAGAAGGATATCCGCTAAGATCTATGTTATTGAAACTAAAAAAGTGGTGAAATGATCCAAGAGGTCACTCTTGATTATACCAGCAAAAAGCTAAAGTTGTTGAGCGCATCCTGAAATTGTGTAATATTTATTTTACAAATAGACCTTTTGCAGTCTTCTTTGTCATTATTTCCTCCATGTCTATCATCAACAGCATCTGATAAGTAACTTTCTCAACAACAACTCAATTTAATTACTAACACACCAGCTTATCTAACACCAACAACACTTTATAAACAAAGTAGTCATACAAGATTAACATGGGAGGCAGTGTGCTTCTTACACAAATTCATAAAATTGTATTCTAGGTGTCCAACTGAAAATGTTTTACATATTGTTGGTCGTGTTCAAGCTAAACATAAAAAAGTTTCTGATTTTATGGATCATAAACGTTCATTTGAACCAAAGCAATATCAGTTTAGTCCTGCTAATAAACCTTCAAGTAGAGGGAAACCTGGTCTAACATGAAAACTTTTTGTTGAAGATGAAGTATTACTTACTTTAATGGGTATTCAACTTGACTCACCATTATCAGATTTAGCATTTTGCTTTAAAATTTCAGGAAGTCACGCGTCTAGGATTTTAACTCCTTTTATAAGTTTATTAGCCCGACAACTTGAACCATTAACATATTAGTCTACTCCAGAAGAATCTTTATGTTTTACTCATTCTCATTTTATTGGAGATTTCATTTATGTTGAATTATTAGTGACTGAACAAACTATTCAATATCAAAGGTCAATATCAAACATATAGTTCTTATAAAAGTAAAAATACATTAAAAAAACTATTTTGTACTAAAGGCGGTTCTATCTCTTTTGTTTCTAAAGGTTACTTTGGATCTTCCTCAGATCGTTTTATTTTTATTTCAATTTTTTTTTTATATTTAACCATATCAATAAAAACTTACAAATCTCATCGTAAATTAATAGAATTTGGTTAGGTATCACTCATATAGTTACAAACTAGTCAATGGAGTGACACCTAAAAAAAATAAAATTCTCGAAAAAAATAAAAAAATAAAAAAAATAATAAATAAATAATGTATATATATAAAAAAAAAGAAACGAAAGAGAAAAAAAAAAGGTATATATGTATATATATATATATATATATATATATATATATATATATATATATATATATATATATATATATATATATATATATATATATATATATATATATATATATATATATATATATATATATATATATATATATATATATATTTATATATATATATGTATATATATATATGTATATGTATATATATATATGTATATGTATATATATATATATATATATATATATATATATATATATATATATATATATATATATATATATATATATATATATATATATATATATAATATATATATATATATATATATATATATATATAAATATATATATATATATATTTATATATATATATATATATATATATATATATATATATATATATATATATATATATATATATATATATATATATATATATATATATATATATATATATATATAAGAGAGAAAAAAAAGAAAAGTTAGTTAAACAAATAATAATGATATATATAATAATTATAGTAATAATACAAAATAATAACAATACTAATAAAATATCAATAATAACAAGAATATTTATGATACAATATAAATTGTATGTTCATATCTTAGCTAATAATTAAATATAATAATAACATTAAAAGTAGCAATAATAACACGATAATAAATAAGTAAAATGAAGATAAATAATAAATAAAGCAAGAATCAAACCAATTGCTTGTTAAAGAAATTATATAATAAAGACAACAACAGTACAGAGACAAATGATAAAGAAATACACTCTTACAACATTTTTAAACTGAATTCTGTTGAGCAGTAAATAATCCGTAACAAGGAGATATTTTTTTAGAAATACATTGTTGTTATATTGAAAACTTACCATATTTAATTTTGTTGAAA